CCCCGGCCCCGGCGTGCGGCCTCGCCTGGGGCCCCGCCGCCGGGCCTACCGCTCCCCGGGCGAGCAGAGCGGAGCGGGGCCGGGACTCGGCCGCCTCCCCCCGGCCCCTGCGGTTCCCTTTGGTCTCCTCCCAGCCTGGCCGATGGCTCCTTGCGGAACAACCCCGGCAGGGGCAGGTCCCTGCCGCAAACACCTGGGCTTTATGCAAATCGTGTTGCAATGCGGGCAGATTTGCCCCGACAAGCGCGCTCCGTAGGGAAACGCTCCCCTCCGCTTCCCGCTCCCCCACCCGGGGCCGGTCCCCGCGGCCCGGCACGGCGGGGGGGGCGACGAGCGGGGCGGGGGCCGCGGCAAAGGCCCGAGTTAGCGAAGGCCGGCAGGTCCTGCGTGGAGGGGGGCGATGCCCTGGAGGAGATGGGTCCTCGGAGGGTTTGCCAGCGAGTCCGTGGCTGCTGTCGCTCTGAGGTTAAAAGCGTTAAAACACGAAAACTCCCCTCCCGGCCCTTGTTTTACTTCCCCCGCCACCGTCAGAGGTGGATGTCCAGTGGTAATTGAGTCCCAGAGCTCCGAAAAGCGTGCTTGGTGCTTCCCGAGAGAGAGCGCATCTCCTGACCGGTACGGGGTGTAAGGTGGTACCAGCCTGCTGCCCCTCACCATCTTGAAGACCAGGCTTTGGCCCAGGAGCTGTCAGGAAAACATCGCTCCAGCCCCGGCACACTCAGCACCCAGTCAGAAGGCAGAGCAGACCCGCGAGCTGAAACTGGAAAGGGAGGAAAATGGGACGGAGGGCAGGGGATGGTGGGTCGTGTCAGGTGCAGGGACAATCCTGCAGTCACCAAGGAGTCGCTGAGGATGCGCTGCTGCTGTTTAAGCCAAGCCTAAGCTGTAGGCGGCTTTAGGCAGAAGGAACGTGTGGATGCGCAACCGCAAGCTTCGGGCACACCAGCGAAGGTGCTCTGTGTATTGTCGTGTTCTATCTGAGCTGTGCTTCCAGCGGCAGGTGCTTAGACACAACATACTGATGGGTGGACATGGCAGAGCGCGGTCAGGGGTGCTAGGCTGCTTGCTAGCTGCGGCTCCTGGCGTGGTGGCCTCTCCTGCGCCGGCGGTGACCAGCCCAGAGGTTGCCCACACAGGCTGCACGCCGGGCGTGCACCGCGCAGGAGGCTGGAGTCTCTGACACACGCCTCTTGCACCACTTTGATCCCGGTGTGATGCAGGTGGCTGTGATTCAGCTGGTGGAGGCTTATCGGCCCGGGCTTTTAGAGGAGGTAAGAGCCAAGAGGAAGCATCTGTCAGCCACCCGTACCTGTCCCCCAACTATTCGCTGAAGCCACCCTTGCACACTGTACGCAACTGCAGGAATTGAACTAACATTTCACAATGTGCAAAAATTTTACATCTCTGACTTCTGATTAATCATTCCTAAACGATTTAATGAAGGTAGTTGCAAATTTGCTTTCCTGAGGCCACGTACCAGAGCCCAACTTAAGAGCAAGGGAACTCTCCCAGTTACAGGAATACATTTGCATTCATCTTCCTTGTGGTTACCCTGAAACAATCATTTTTTCTTGTCTCTGGCCATGTCTGAAACCGCACTGTGTACTCAACAGTAACACACACACAGAGGCTAGATTCAGATCAGAGATAATATCCTTAGTCAGTACTTAAGTAGGTGCTTTCCCAACTCTTCTTTCCCTTGGAATCTACTCCAGTCAGCATGAATCTAGCATTGTTTGTGTGCTTTTGCTTCCAGGCTAAAGTCTATTGCATCAAAAAGTTCGGCCACAGATGTGCTTTTTATAGGAATTACCCCAAGTTAAGAGCCACAAAGCTGGATCTTCTGATTTATGCAAAGCAGTGACAGCAACTGCATGCTGCCTGTTTTGATTTGGTAAGAAGAGAAGCCAGGATAGAGAGAGGGTCTGTTGGCTTCTCCACCCTAAGAGTCAAAAGGGGTCATATGCTGGCCACACCCCAAAATTCCCAGTGGTTACTTTTGATTTTTTTTCCCCTTTTTCACATTTGCAAACTGCTTTGAAGAGAAAGTGCTTCAGTTATTTGGCATTGCAAGGGCCGTTGTGGAGGCTGCCACTTCTGAGGGTATGAAGATCTCCAGAGCCAAGCCTCTGCTAGGATCACTGGTACACCAAGACCCTTCGCTACCACATACAGGCAGGAGACTTTCTTTCTTCCCTGAGGCACACGAAGGGTCCCCTGCGCAGGGAGAGGGGCTGGAAGAGCAGAGCTGTCCCACAGCTGCTGGTGAGGAAGACTCCTACAGCTCCTCAGTTCCAGAGCAAGAAACCGGCTCTCACTTAATTGCTGTGATTTGAAAGTGTATTGACCCGCTCCACTACACAGCATGGAGGAAGAGGTATTGCAGTTAAATTCCTTGTGCAAACAAGCCTGGAGTATTTTCGGGGCCAGTCACTCCTCCGCTCCACTGTCCCCTGGACCTCATAACCGTGCAGCTGCTGCGGTACCGCCTGCGCGGTGGTTTCCAGGAACCAGCGGCCGTCCTGCTTCCTCCAAACGCGCCCGAAGGTCCCTGCCCCTCTCTGCTCACCCAGGGGTGTCGTATCCAGCAGGACTTCAGTAAAGCCACTGCCCGGGGAACAGTACCCTGCAGAAAACCACGATCGCAGCAGCCTGCCGATATCGAGTTTGGAGCAGCGAGTTGTCCTGCAGTGGGGAATGCCAGAGGAGCTGCAGAACAGGGAATCGGTCTGAGGGGAGGGAAGGGAGCCATATTCAGAGGAGCCTAAATAGCACCAAGTGTGCCAGAGACATGCCAACAACCATTTCATGGATTTCGTAAGGGGTACTGAGCACCTCCATGGCATTTCGCAGAAGTGCTTTCCAACTTGCACCCCCCGCTTCCGTGTCCAGACACCAACAAACACCCCTTTGTTTTGGGAAAGGCATCTTGCACAGCTGATTTTTTGTGTCGTGCACCAGAGGTCAGGCCCTCATCTCACAGCGATCTGACTGACTTTCTGCTGGGCTGGTGGGGTTGGGTGGTGTGCCTGGGGACGCAGCCCCGACACCTGGGCTGAGGCGCCCGGTGGGGCTTGCTGGGGAGGCTTGGCCGGGGAGCAGCGGGGCTGAGCAGGAGGGAGCACCGTGCCAGCAGTCGGGCGGCCGCCTTGTCCCCTTTCTGCTGCGGGACGGGCCGTCCGCGGGCACTGCCGGGCTGCCGAGCGGTGCTCGTGCCTCCATCCCGCCGCAAGATATCCGCGCCCACAGGAAAGCGGTGGAAATCCCCTCTGCAGCGCACGCATGCACGGGGCCTTTCCTGAGGAGGAACTTGTGAGAGCAAAGGGGGGGGACAGCGGGCAGGCAAGACCAGATGCTAGACCACAGGATGCGCCCAGCTGCGCCAGGCTGGGTATCAAGGGCAGCCAGCAGCGTCTCGTGCTGCTGAAGGGTTATCTGTCTGAATCAGGGTTTCTAGTAAGCAAAAAAGGGAACAAAAGCTTGCAGGGGCAGCCGTGACAGCGAGGTAGCCTGTGATAGCAGGAGCCCTGTCCTGGGGATGGGCTCTGTGCCTCCCAGTCCTCTGTGTCCTTCCACTTCTCTGCTGACTCAACGTAAGCTTTCCACCAGTCTGGTTCCTTGCTCATGAACAAGTCTCGTAAAATCCTGACATCACATTTTTCTAGGGATTTTTCTAGGGATTACCACTCCCATGTCCTGGATTTTAAAGGAAGAACTCATCCTCTGGCAAAGCCTTTCATCTCCCACTCGCACATTTAACGCAGTCAAAATAGGTGGTATTCAAGGATCTTATTATCCGCTGGCGGGGAAGAAGCTGGCCTCGTGCCAGTTGCTTGGGAAGAGATGCCAACGCTACAAAACTATTGCTAACCAGCCTCAATCAGGAGCCTTGTCAGCAAAGTGGCCATGGACCTGGCTTGCCTACCTACGGAAGCTCAAGGCAGCTAACTCGCTTTTAAAAATGGGCTAATTAAACCTCATTCATAAATACCTACATGGGACTACTTAATGTTAATTAAGGACAATTTAAATGGCCTTATTTAGTAGCATTTGGGAGTAAATTAAACTGAATTAAGGCAACTTTAATTCTGAATGAGAGTTTTATGCAGAATTTTAATGCTCTTTAATCCACTTTAGATTTAGTTACTTCAATTTAATTTTCTTAACAGTCCTGTGTAGGCAAGCCCCGAGCAATGAGGGGCAGGTATCCGTACCTGCTTGGAGCCTGAGCTCATGCCTGCAGCCTGTCTGGGTGGGGACGGGGCTGGGGCTGGCTGTCTTGGGATCTGTGCGTTCCCATCAGTGTTGGGATCATAAATCCCCTGCTCATCTGTGGAGTGACCTAATGGCTTGTCTCACCGCACTTACCAATGTGTGCTCCTGGGTGATGCGAACAATACCCAGTAGATTAACTGAATTCTCCCATTACCTTCAAAGTAGGGATTCGAGAGGCTGGCAGAGCTGCATCTGAATTTTCTTTTACAGTGAGCAGTATAATTTATTACACAGTACTGAGCACATCCAGGAATTAAAGGAAAAAACAAGTGATGATTTATGCCCTTTCTTTGGAAGAGGGTCACCATGCCTCACAAGGAAAGCCGAGCAATAATGCTGGAAGGAAAGCTTAGCAACATCCCGTTATAGCAGTTTGCTTTTATAGCTGCAACCACTCACATTTATGGAGATGCTGATTGAGAGACCATCTGCTTCTCTTG